ACAGCCATACCAATAATAGTGATACTAAACTAATCACTAACGATCATGATAATACTGATATAAATAAATAAATTACTACAATGTACAATTTAATTCCAATGCTCAAGTCAATAAATTAAAGTTATCAGCTAAGTAATTTGTATCAGAATTCATACTACATATTAGTCACCTTGTAGATGAAGACGTAAAATTGTGAACATCTCTGCTAAAGGAACTGCTAGACTCTGACCAGCATTTGAGGTTATTTAAGTCAACAACTCACAAAGCACATAGAAAAAGCTCAAGAAAACATGACTTGCAGTAAGTTGAGCAGATATTGCCTGAACGCGGGTATGTTTGTTTGAAGTATTAAGGATGTTTTTGTGGATCGTTATGGTTATTTAATTATTACATATCTGAACAGCATAATGCAGCTGGATGCGGCTCTCGTGCAGAATGATTAAAAAAATACCACAGAAATCTGCAGTGTGCAAGTAAAATCCAAGCTCTCTTATTAAAATAGAAAAACAAAGAATGATACGTAGAAGCTGCTATCGACTTTCGTGACGTTACAGGGATATGTATACAAGCTTAATTAACAAGAATAACCAAAAACTGATCACAAGTGTTGAAACAAAAATAAAATAAAAAGAAGTGATTACCAAGAATTTCTTGTTTCATAAATGTCAAACTCCCTTGGTGAATATACCTATACAACAAAAACGATGAGATTAACTAATTAGACAGAGAGAGAGAGAGATTATAGAGTACTGAATGCTTGGCTCCTCGCACGCCACCCGCAGTAACCAAATTCAAGCAGCAAGAATTAGTGCACACGTGTGGCATTCAGGGAGCCAGGCATTCTCATGAATTACTATATATATTTCCTTGCATTCTCATGAATTACGATATATATTTCCTCCATTGCTAGCTTCTCTTTTTCTCTTCAAAGAAATCATAAACCAAAGCAGCTCAAAAACAAACTGTTGGCGATGGAGAGAGAGAGAGAGAGAGAGAGAGAGAGAGAGAGAGAGAGAGAGAGACCTAAGTGAGTAACAAAGGGTCTGTTGGCGATGGAGAATTTATGGGCATGAGACTGCTGTACTGATAAAATATTAAGAAGAAAAAAAGTAGAAAAAAAAGCACGTTAAAAGAAACAAAAGCCGGTTGCACTTTAAACTCACCCGCAGGCTGGCTACGTGCAAATAGCTGATGCACTAAAGCCTCAAGATCAGCAGTCTTCTGGGCTTGTGCGTTCATCTGCTCAGCTTGTGCGTTCATCTGCTCGGCTTGTGAGGCAATCTGCTCGGCTTGTGAAGCTATCTGTTCGGCTTGCATAGCTACTGTCTCCTTTAAAGCCACGACCTCAGCATCTCGCTCAGCTGACTTTGCAATAGAACTGGTAGATGAATTCCCTCGAAGGTGGATCCCATACCCCTTCAGGTAACCTGGCGTCCTTCCAAGTACCTCAATGGAGATCTCAAACTCATTCATCGGGATGTAACTTCGGGCTGAGATTGTTCGATAGTCTTGTTGACTAATCGCTCCTGTCATTTTTAAAGATGTAAGATCCATATCATTAATGAATAGATATAAGTTTTTTGTATAGATTGATTTAACAAAAGTAAATTGGACATACGTACATAGGTATCTTGTGCTTTCTCGTTTACCCATACTTTCCTTGTTTTTTGGTAGTGGGTTTCCTTGTAAAATTCCGGAAAAGAGGGAGCTTGCCCATCATTTTTTGATTTCTGTAATTGTATAAATTTATCATTAAGGTTGTTAATAACTATTTATAGTCTATTTAAAAAGTAAAAACTTATAAAGCAAAACTTACAATTAGTGACATCGCTGCTGCAAATGATCGGGAACCAGATATATGATTGTAGGGCAACTTTGATCGACTCACCTTCGCTTTATCAGATTTCGTCTAATGACCAATATAAAATATATTATTAAAATATGTAACAACATGATTCCAAAATTAACATGACAATTTAATAAAGTGATTTGAGATCTATACCTTCCATTCTTCAGTTTGCCACACATCGATCATCGATACCCAATCATTGGGATCCACACGCTTCGGTGGATGGTTCTTGGGATCAGGTACTCCCTTCTCTATTAAACCAAGATAATAGGTGTGCAACTCATGCTTCCAATTTCTATATATACTCTGACACTTTTTCTTTATGGAATCTTGGATGACTAGGTCGTTCTCATAGTCCCCGACATCAAATCTTTGCTACAAGTACAGTTAAGCATGAATATACATATAAGCATTAATATATCTTTGCTACAAGTACAGTTAAGCATGAATATACATATAAGCATTAATATGATATATATGTATGCTTTGTTCAGTGCTTGAAAGCTTGGAAGTGACATTAGGAGTTTTTTGTAAACCATTAATATGGTATATATGTATGCTTTGTTAAACTGTATGTCATTGTCATTCTAAATAATCATATGTTGTCAACTCTTCTGATAGGCTTTGTTAAACTGTATGTCATTGTGCATTTGATGGTAGTTGGAAATATAGACACATATAAATACTAGCATTTGTATGTCGTTATGCTAATCATCATCAAAGAAATATAGACACGTATAAATACTATCAGAATTATGCTAATCATCATCAAAGAAATATAGACACATATAAATACTATTTGAAGGAAGTATCAAAATCTTTTCACATGAACAGAGCCATAACAACACAAATGTGCACAACTCAATCATTAATGAAGAAGAAAATGTACTCCACTTTTTCCTTTGCGCTCTCCCACCGTAAATTATAATGGTGTCACACTCAACCTCACAATGACATCCCCTGTTTCTACTCTTGTTTGATTACCAGCACATCTACAAAAGGACACGGGACTTTGAACTCGTGGCCAATTCTAGTAATGAAAACTATATTCTACCTCCTAATTATTTATTGCACACTGCAGACACCGGTGGTTATATCCCTCATTAGTGGCTCGAGTTGCAATCAACATATATAATTACCGACAAATATATCATAGCAATGAAAATATATCAGGACCCCATAATTATTGAGAAACAAAGAAGGTTGGAACAGATTCTGGTGCAGTTATCAGCCCTTGTTAGAACTTTTTAATTTGTTGATCTTTAAGTCTTGTTTATCATTTATAATTGCATATTGCATAAATCTTTGGCCTTATTTTCCCTTTGTATGATTTGAATTATGAAATGAACATGCCCAGCTGGTATCTTATATGCATTTTGGTGTCACCTGTCTAGTTTTTAAATGTTGAAAGTTCTTAATTTGCTTCCTGTTTTGTTCTCGGAGTTCTTGTCTGGTAATCATGCATTGGCTTGGATAAACTGGTCACAATGAATGTTTTTCCTTTGAGAAGGCTATAATTTTGTCTTCCTTTTGGTATATCTGAATCTGGTGCATTGAGGTAACAGAAACTAAGCACTGTTTTAGATTTTTGATAGTTATATGGTTGGAAGCTGGAGATTTTTGATTGGTTCTCCACAGCTTTATGGATTCTCAGGTCCTTCCTCTGGCTGAATATCTTGAGAACTTTGTTCTACTTTTGATCTCCTTTTTGGGATTCTTATTTATTTGAATACATTTCCAGTTTGTCCAGCTGTTATGTTTCATTGTTTACTTCTCTCGGAATGTATATGAAGCAGTTTAACAAATTTCTATATGTTTTCCAATATAGCGAAATTAGCACAAAACCCATATATGATCTTAAACATGCAAAAGCCAGAATTATGGGGTTTGTATATACCCCATTGATTGCACGTTCACATCTCATGGTTATACCACATTGATCTTAAACATTCATAACTTGCTGTAGATAATTATGTTTCATTTGATGCATAATAAACTAGCCGTTATGGTTGAATAAATCAGGACAAATATATCATAGCAATGAAAATATATCATTAAAGAATGATTAAAAAAATACCCGAACTCTCATAATGATCGCCTCTCGAATCCCAGCATCAATATTGTCTCAACCACAATTGCGAACCGATGCAGATGTTCGGATCTCCTTACCAATCTCATTCGCGAGGGATGTCGCATGCTCCCCCTCCGGTGCTCCACTCGAGGAAGGGATCGGAACTGAAATCGCATGACCCAATTGTCTCACCAATCTCTCTGTCCCCTTCCCTCGTGTTGCACCGCGTACATTTCTACGGGCCGATGGTACCGATCCTACATAAAATGCAAAGTTAATTGAATTAAATTTTATATCTAATATAAAGGAAAGGTGAATCTGATATGTAAATAATGATATATTAATACATACGCTGCTCCCGATCGTTTGTGGGCTTTCTAGTTGGTCGGGTTGGGCAATTGATGATTGCTCGGGGTAGGGCAGCTCGCTACGGGTACACTGGGGTGGCTGGTTCGAAGCAACCAAATCCTCATCTCGGGCACAGAAGTCGATGGTGTAACATTTTTGGACCTGCGTCCTGGAGCCATACGTGTTACCTGTTATAATTGAGTAAAATGAATTATTAGTACACATAATGAAAAGAAATTAATAATAAATAATAATAAGTAATGACAAGGACAAGTAATTACAATTAACCATTAATGACAATACACAAATAGATATTACCTCTTCTAAATCATCATTGTCATCTTCACTCGATGAGCTAAGCAAATTATCATCCATAGGCGGTTGGTACTCATCATCATCCTCACAAACCTTTTTTTTACTGCCTTTACTTTTCCTCTCATGCATTGGCAACGTCCTGGAAATTGTTTGTGAAAATGGTGGTATTCCCAAAGCTCTCATTCTCTCTATATTCTCATCTATTGTTTTGCTCCTTCTTGCCTCATATATTTCTGTCATTTTCCGTGTGGACCCCGGTTTGACCCATAATTTTTTACCACTGTGCATATTTGATAACTATGAAAAAAATTACATGTTAGAACATATAAATTATGCCAGGTTGTAACATTAAACTTTTATACAAAATGATAGAATGTAATTATGTTGCTTTCAAACAATATTATTTCTTGATATTTGTTCATTTACGAAACAAAAACATATACTACACATCATAATCAATATCAGGGTCTATTTCTAAGTCAGCCTGATTATGCAGATTATCTTCTTCATCATCGCCATACTCTTCCATTCTCTGATCATTGTCAACTTCATACTCTGTATTTAGGTCAGCACTGGGAATGATATTGGGACCAATATCATCCCTATAATAAGGATAATTTGTAGTAGGCTCGACGAGAATTGGAACAGCGACAGTGGTTTCAACTTGTTGAAATGCATCATTAAGCATATCATCATGGACTTGTTCCGGTACATCCCACACACTCATGTGTTGAACCCGTTCTACGACTTTCCAATGAGCACCCAATTTGGTATCATCAATGTAAAATACTTGCTTCACATGCTCTGGTAGCACAAATGGATCGTTTTGATACCAACGACCCCTAACATCAATACTTGTGATATGTGTATCTTTATGTATTCTATTTTTACCGCCAGTGTTGAACCACTCACATTGGAACAGAACAACCTTAACCCCATGCAAATATTTCAGCTCCCAGACTTTGCATAAGTAACCGTAAAAGTCAATTGTTTTTCCATCGTGATCCCCTTCCACAACCAAACCACTATTTTGACTCTTACGACGGTTGTCGCGATCTTTAGTGTGGAACCGAACGCCATTACAAATGCATCCTTCATAGAGATGAACTAATATATCTGGACCATTTGCTAATGACCACAATTCATCAGTTGCCCTTGGTGACCCGATAGTTCGCAAATGATTTATCTACATAAACATATTACAAGTGCATTAGGTAGTTGCCCTTGGTGACCCGATAGTTCGCAAATGATTTATCTACATAAACATATTACAAGTGCATTAGGTTCAATAATGTCAATTTAATTTTAATTTATAAAATGACTTGTGCGTATTTCAGATAACTTACATGTTGTTTGAACCATTTTGAAAATTCTTTTCATTGTATCTGAGTAATGTCATGTCCTCTAGAATTTTGGATCGTAGCCTTGTGTTCCCTACATCCAGAGGTGTCAATCAATTGGTTAGTAAAACTATACAACTGATTCAAACTTAAAAAACTTAATACATACTCTAGAAACGGCTCCAATTCAGGGCTATTATACAACACAAACCACTGAGCCATATCCAGATCTTTCTGAGACACATTTGGAGCTCTTGTGATTGGTCCGAAGGGACGAGCACTTTGTGTGAAAACCGACAATCCAGGACCAAGTATACCACAATCAACATTTCGTTCTTCTCGAACAACTCCTTTCAGATACATTGAACAAAAAGTAAGACACTCTTTAGCAATGTAAGCCTCTGCAATTGAACCTTCTGGCCTAGCTCGATTGGTAACGTACCCCTTTAGTGTTCCAAGAAACCTTCAAAGGAACCATAAAATAGAATAAGATTTATATGTAATATAGTTGCACAAATACGAAACTAATTAATTACGTGGTCCTCTAATATATACTTTTCGATCGGATACATCCACCGATATTGCACAGGGCCAGCAAGCATGGCTTCACGTGGCAAGTGAACAGCCAAATGGACCATCACATTGAAAAAAGCCGGTGGAAAAATCCTCTCCAGTTTACAAAGTATGAGGACAATGCGTTCCTCTTAACTTTTCCAAGTCACTGTGCCTCAATGTTTTAGAACAAAGGTCCTGAAAGAAGCTTCCCAACTCAAAAAGTGTTGTACCAATTTCCTTATTAACATATCCGTGCATCCCAATTGGCAGAAGACGTTGTAGAAGGACATGATAATCATGGCTCTTCAGACCCGTTAATTTGCCGCCTCTAGTGCTCACGCACCTCGATAGATTTGCTGCATACCCATCAGGATACTTAATCGATGCCAAGAATGCACAAAAACCCTCTCTCTCTTCTGGGGATAGTGTGTAGGCTGCAATAGGCTTGCGAATGGATCCATCTGGTTGTTTCTCTAAATGTAATTTTGACCTTATATCCATATCTTCCAAATCGAGGCGAGCTTTATTCGTGTCCTTATTCTTCCCGTCTATACCCAATATTGTCCCAATGATTGCCTCACATATATTCTTTTCAATGTGCATGGGATCCAAATTGTGCCGCACCTTTAGTTCTTTCCAATACGGTAGCTTGAAAAAGATACTTTTCTTTCTCCAATTTAGGGCAATGGATTCATAGGGTCTTTTCCTCTTTAAAGGATGCTTTCCAAAATTAACATTTGGTAATTGATCCAGCTGCTCAAGTACCTTTTCCACGGGTAACTCCAAAGATTTCATGTGATGTTCAGTCCTACCGTTAAAGTCCTTACTCCTTCTCATAGTGTGATTCCTAGGCAAGTAAACTCGATGACCGAAGTATCCAATCTTACTCCTCAATCGATGCGATAATGGATCATCTTTGCAAGGTGGACAAGCTAAATAGCCTATTGTGCTCTACCCAGACAAGTTACCATATGCAGGAAAGTCATTAATGGTCCACAATATAACTGCATGCATCCGAAAGATCTGTTTTTTGGAGGCATCATAAGTTACTACCCCATTGTCCCACAACTCCTTCAACTCGTCGACCAAAGGCCTCAAGAAAACATCGATGTCGTTCCCTGGTGCATGTGGTCCAGGAATAAGTAAGGACATCATGAAAAAAGATTCTTTCATACACAACCAGGGTGGCAAGTTGTAAGGCATAAGTATGAGTACCTAGACTCCCCACATACAGGACACTTTATTAGGTGCGAGTTCTCCTTCCAAAACAGTACACAATCATGTTGGCATGCATCGATATGCTCATATCCCATGCCCAGATCACGCAACAACTTCTTCGTTTCATAAATTGACCCCGGAACCAAATGACCCTCTGGCAATAAGTCCCTAAATATCTGTAAAATCATGTCGAATGACTTATTACTCCATCTATTCTCAACTTTCACATGAAGCATCTTGACAACAAATGCCAACAAAGTGAAGTTTTTGCAACCAGGATACATTTCACGCTGGGAAGCTTCCAGTAATTTTTCAAAGTTTCGAACATTATGATCCATCTCTACATCATCATCTTCCATATAAGTTCCTCTGTAATGGTCTTCCATTAATTCTGGATACTCATCTTTGTTATCGTCATCGCTCTCATCCCTGTCATCACCGGAATCACCATGTTGATTATCAGGCAATTCTCCATGGTGCAACCAAATCTTATAGGATACCATAATCCCATATCGAACCAAATGATCTTGCACAATACCAAATTCACACCAATCAAGATTCATGCATTTGTTGCACGGACACTGAATCGTTCTACGTCCGCCTGCATTTACTTTTGCAAATTCAATAAAAGCATCAACTCCGGCCCGATACCGCAGACTTAATCTATCCCTAATCAGTGTCATCCAACTCTTATCCATACCTGATTACAATTGGTGTGAATATAAAATCATATTAATTTATTATCATAAAATAAAAAGTAGCATCTCAAATAAATATGCAATAACAAATAAAAAATCGGTTATCTTTCATTCAGTCTTATTCTCTCAAAAAATAACTTCAAGTGGTAACTCAAGGCAACAGAGGGATTGACTCGTCGACGTCTAGCTAATTTTATGCATCGCCTGTAACTCATCTAAGTCAATTAAGGCGATACTTAATTTCATACTCGTCTAGCTAATTTTATGCATCGCCTGTAACTCATCTAAGTCAATTAAGGCGATACTTAATTTCATACTCGTAGCTAGCATGGCTAATTAACTCTCAGTCCTCACCTCAGCAATTTAACACTAGTCAGGAGTGGTGATGACTAATTCTCGCATATGCGGACTATAGAGTCTAGAGGACAACAAGCAAATTAGTAGTAATGTCAACTGCCACCGCATATGTACGAAAAGGCAGTTCATCCACTTGCTACGAATGGATCTTTTCGGCGGTAGGTAAGATATCTACCATGATTTGTTAAAAGAAAAGGGGGGTGAGAACAGTAAATATGTTTCCGTACAAAATCTAGCTATGGTGTATTTGCTTTGGACAGTTTTGTTGGAATCAAGTTTAATGAGATCTATGAGACAAGTCGACACGTATTATTTTCTTGAGATTCTATCAAGTCAATGGGTAGCAGATGGACAAATCATTTGTCCCAATTATACAAAATTACTTCAATCTGCTTCATTCAGTAAGGAGATAAATAAAACAAAAGGAAGGAAAAAGTAGAAGAGAAAAAGAAAAAGGAATAAAATGTTAAAACAACATTCAGCTAAGTTTTAGGGATGCTCAAAATAGATCAATAAGATTGTGGGTATTACTGTACCCTACAACTTCAAGACTATATGTACGTGATGATCATCATAACTTTTTGGACTGGACAAAGTAGGACTGCTTTCTTCTTCATCGTGTACAACCTTAAATACTTCAATCAAATATTGGTGTAGGCATTGATTATTTATCTATAAAGTTAGAGCTGATATGGATCATATGTTTTCATTGTCAATTACCCTTTGCTTATATTGTCCACTATCTTGTTTATATTGCTTTGTGTTTATATCACCATTAGTTTCATATCCTTGAATATATTTGTAATATATCATTTTTTCTAGGCTATATTTGTTAATAAGTTTTAAATTGGTATAAAATCGGATTAGATTAGCATAAACCCTATTCACCCCCTCTAGGGTTCTTTCCTAGTGGCATTAGGGTGCTTTCTGCTTCTCCGTCACTTTGTTCAGGAGGTGGAGTTATTCCAATGTACTCGACAATATCAAATCAAACAATTAATATGCATGTCATATACATATTTTACAACAAAAATTCTAAGAATAGCACGGCTTACAATCAAATCAAGTGTCGCCTTATTTTGTGGTTTTTTCTTTTGTTTACGGGTTAAACACTTCAGCATCTGTTAGAGCTCTGTCAAATCCTTTTCTTGCAACGAAATGTCAGATCAACCATTCACTCATTCTTGCAACGAAATGTCAGATCAACCAATTTGGAACTGCTTTCATCGGAGCCAACAGCGGCTCAGTTTCCTCGGGAGAGCCAACTGTCAGTACGACGACCATGCCTACAATCTCAGAAGTGGATCCTTCGACTACATCATCCGGCAATACGTCGCAATTGACCACCACAAGTTGAATGGTAAAACCTACCTAGAATGGGCGCAGACCGTCAAACTTGTAATTGATGAAAAAGGAAAACTTGGACACTTGACTAGTGAGGTGAAGAAACCAGCAGATGATGATCCGAATCTCAGGATTTGGAGATTGGCAAATTCCATGGTTACTGCCTAGCTTATTAACTCGATGGAACCGGCGATCGAAAACCCGTTCTTTTATTCCCACCATAAAAGAAGTATGGGAGGCTGTCCGAGATACGTACTCTAATTTGGAAAATCCCTTGCAAATTTTTGCCCTCAAAACGCGACTCTAGCAAGTGAAACAAGGAGATCGTGAGGTTACTATATACTACAACGAAAAGGTTACATTATGGCAGGAGCTGGATCAGTGTTATGAGGAATGGGAAAGCTCTAAGGATAGCATTTTATATTTAAAGAGAGAAGAGAATGAACAAGTTTACATGTTTCTAGCAGGCCTAAAACGGGAATTAAACGAAGTCAGAGGCAGGATTTTAAGCAGGAAACCTCTCCCGAATATCAGGGAAGTCTTTTCTGAGGTTCGAAGAGAAGAAGCTCGACGACATGTGATGATGACCAGGGCAGAAGCTATTCCAGAAACTGAGTCTTCGGCCTTGTTCTCCAGAGGTCCGGAACCTGAAGGTGAAAAGAGAAGTTCCAAACGCGTTGATAAGCCTTGGTGTGATCATTGTAAAAGGCCTTGGCACACCCGTGATACCTGCTGGAAGCTGAATCGTTGATAAGCCTTGGTGTGATCATTGTAAAAGGCCTTGGCACACCCGTGATACCTGCTGGAAGCTGAATGGAAAACCTCCAAATTGGAAGAGGAAATAAAAGGCCTTGGCACACCCGTGATACCTGCTGGAAGCTGAATGGAAAACCTCCAAATTGGAAGAGGAAACGAGTTAATCGGGCATTCCAAGCCTTAATTGATGATCAGAATCGTCACTCTTCTACAGAACAACTCCCGTTCACAAAGGAACAATTGGAGAATTTATGCAAACTGCTTCAGTCCACCAATCTACCTGTAAAATCTTCTTCTCTTTCCTGTTCCCTAGCCCAGAAAGGTACTCTTTTTTCTACTGCCTTGATAAGTGCCCGACCGGGTACTAATCATCACTGGATTATAGATTTCAGGGTAACTGACCACATGACCGGTTCTTCAAAATTGTTTCTCTTATAATCCATCCGCAAGGAATCAATCAAAAAATAAAAATAGCAGATGGGTCTCTTTCAGCTATGGCTGGAAAAGGTTCAATTGTTATTTCACCGCATATCATCCTCCATGATGTCCTTCATGTTCCAGATGGTTCTCTTTCAACTATAGCTGAAAAAGGTTTAATTGTTATTTCAGCGCATATCACCCTCAATGATGTCCTTCATGTTCCAAATTTTTCCTATAATCTTGTGTCTATCAGTAAACTAACCTATGATTTGAAATGTCAAGCTCACTTTTTCCCTACTCATTGTGAATTTCAGGAACCGACTTCGGGGAAGACGATTGGCAATTAGGGGTGGTAAACGATCGAATTGAATCGAATACTAAGGTGTTCGTATTTGTATTTGTTTAAAATTATCGAATTTGAATACGGACTTTAAAATTCATATATCTACTTTTTCGAATTCGAACCCGAATACTTGGTATTTGATAAATGTTCATGAATATTTACAAATACTTATCGAATATCAAAGTATATTATTCTGCTAAAAAAATTAATTTTCAAATAATATTAAAATTCATAAATAAAAATTATTTCTTTACAATATATGATGTATATATTTAAATCAAAATTTTAATTAGAAAATAGATTTAAGATTATTTAAGTCTTAAAATCAGTATAAATAATTTAAGTAGAAATGGTAAATGAGTTTAAAATATGACATAATATGTGTAATAATACAAATAATAAGGTGTGATCAAATTTTAAATGAATATTTAATAGATAAACGAATCGAATATACATCTGGTTAAATTCTATTTGTTAGTAAACTCGAATACTAAAAAAATATTTGTTTAGTGGCAAATGAACTACCGAATCGAATATGACTGAATAGTTATTCGAACAATTATCGAACTATTTGTTAATTATTTGGTTCATTTCCACCGCTATTGGCAATGCTAAAAAAAAGGGTGGACTTTATTTCCTTGAAGATGGATCAACCTTGACAGAACAAGCCCTAGGCACTTGTTTCAAATCTAGTTCTGCCACTAGTGAAAATAAAATTATGTTATGGCATCTAAGGTTAGGACATCCTAGTTTTTATTATCCAAAGCATTTGTTTCCAAGTTTGTTTATCAATAAAAATCCATCTTTTTTTCAATGTGGTATTTGTGAACTAGCCAAACATCAACGCACTTCTTTTCCTGCACGTCCATATAGAGCATCAGAACCGTTTTCTGTCATTCACAGTGGCATTCAGGGGGCATCTAGGATTGCCACATTATCTGGCAAGAGATGGTTTATAACATTTATTGATGATCACACGAGGGTAACTTGGGTGTACTTGTTGAAAGATAAATCTGATGCAGAACAAACTTTCAAAGATTTTTATAACATGATAAAAACCTAATTTTAGGCTAAGATAAAAGTGCTTTGAAGTGATAATGGTACAAAATATTTTTTTAAAAATTGGGAGAATATTTTGCAGAAAATAGGATTGTTCATCAAAGCACTTGTGTTGATACCCCTCAGCAAAATGGAATTGCAAAGAGAAAAAATAAGCATCTGCTTGAAATTGCAAGAGCTCTACTTTTTACAACAAAGGTTCCAAAATACTCAGCCACTTTTTTAATCAATCGAATGTCATCAAGAGTTTTGCAATTTCAAACATCAATGCATATTTTTACAAATTGTTTCACTACATCTAGACTTATAAGTAGCATTCCTTTGAAATTTTTTGGATGCAAAGCCTTTGTTCATAATCATAGTCATAATCGTGGAAAACTTGATCCAAGGGCGAAAAAGTGTGTTTTTGTTGGTTACTCACCAACTCAAAAAGGGTACAAATGCTTTGATCCTATTAATCGGAAATTTTTTGTATCTATGGATGTTACCTTTTTTGAAACACAAAAATATTTTGGGGATGCTCATCTTCAAGGGGAGAATGAAAGTGAAGATGAGTTGTTTTCAGAAATCTTTGGTAGTGAGCACACAACATTAGATTCTATCTCCACATTGATCACCCCAAACACTAAAAAAACTAAACCTACATCAGACCGTGTAGGCTCAACCATTGCAGGAAAGGATGTTGATTCTGTTACAGAAGGGTCACAACCGGCTGATTTCG